ATGGGTACATTCTTGGAGAAAGCACCACGGAGCACCTGCTTAAAGGGGTCAAAATCTGTCCTGCTAAGCGTACTAATATTACACACCATAAGGATTCACTGCTACTACTGCCATCAAGAACCCCGACATCGAAGTAGCTCTGGCTGCGGGCACTCAACGGAGGCTAGATGAACAGTCACCACTTTCTAGGCGGGTTGAAACCCACATTCGAGGGAGACCACGTTCAAGAAAAAGTTCCTTGCTTTGTCGCTTACCCCATGGTTCACTCACCCCTAAAGTCGAAAAGTTCGTCATGAAAACCACTTCGGCACACGACGACATTCTCAAAAAGGGCTTGAATCACTGGACCTGGCGCTTTTACAAAATAAACACCGTTGCACTCCTGAAATAAACAATGTCAAAACGTTGAGATGATCTCCCAGGTAAGATCAAGTACTTAGTTCGCCAGAAAACTCACCATGCAACGTGAAAACACGTCCAGATTTGAAAGCGACACCTTGTACCGTGTGAATACATATTTCAATTGCTCGATCGGATTCAAGGAACAAACATTCGGAATACACAAGACACGAGAGGGAAATAACTGCTTAAGCTGAAGGAACAGAATCATTTCAGCACTGCGCTACTGCGGAGCCGCAGTCCGGATGTTATACGACAAAGTATTTTATGATGTTTAATTTGAAGGGAGTGAAACTTAAAAAGAGCCCGAGGAGCTTCTCCAATTGCCTAGGGTTCCAATGCACAGCACTTTAGTCATATGTTCTTAGTAAGACTCCTCTGGCATGATGTGGCTAATTACAGGTTACTGATGCAGTTCTTCCTCAAGGGTGAGCTTCCCGCACGGCCGTTAGGCTGCGTTTATATTAGGTTGGCGGGAAAGTTCTGTCACATTTTTTTAAATTAGACTTTCTTTTTACAGAGAGGCGTACAAGATCAAAATTATACAGCAATGTTATTGAGAGATCCTTGCCAGTTTTTGGACAGTTCGTGGATGCCATCGCTTAACAATGCACGCCGGCGCGACGCAAAGTTGGACATCATCTCAACTTTGACTTGGGCTCAAGTCGTGGAGGTTTTCTCGGCTGTATAACGGTTGAATACGGGAGGCGACTAGCAGTCAGAAAGAGCAATGTCTGGACTACACCGGTGCAAGGGGAGAGCCATCCAGCTCTATTGCATGAAGTACGGCTCGAACTTTTTTGACGGGGTGTGCTGCACCAGCACGTTGAAGACGGACTGTGCCGATGGATTTTGCCCTCTGCTTGACGATTCGCTTCAGATCTCGTAGCTGCCTTGCGTACGGATTGACCGAGAGGCAGCTTCTTCATCCAGTAGTTTCCCGACCCACCGCTATCTAGAGCTGAGTTTACAGGTACTCCCGAACCTCACTTCGTCATTCGAACCGTAGGCTCCCGCTCTGAAGAGCTAGCGTCGTGGAAGATTGTCTGATGACTGTAGACATTGTCCTTGTGCAGCTCCATTATTTCGGAGTCGACAGCTGCCATGCTGGCGCCAGGGTGGTAGAAGAAATAGTTTAAGGAAGCGCTTGAAGGGGTCGGTGCTGAAGGTAGCGGATAACATTCTTGTCCATAATGCAGAATAAGGATGAGCAGGAGCCGAGCCAGTGACACTAATAGAAAGATCAATCCTTAATGTATAAATGCTCACATTACCGGTTAGCCCTCTTCAGGTAATAGGCGAATACTTGGGTTCAAAAAAGTATGACAGAACTTTCCCGCCAACCTAATACTTTGCGATACAGTAAGCTAGCGTGCGGCAGCGTAGCGTTTCGAGTGACGACGAAAGCATGGATATCGAACTAGCGTTCCGAGCATCCACCACTAGTGTATGCTCGCGTTTTGCGGGCCTATGAATATAGGTATCAATCTAGCACGCTCAAGGAAAGTAACCCGCGAAAAGATGGTACGTTACATTGACAACTATAATTTCTAGTTGCTCGAAACAGTGCAGTACGTTGGCGTCCAGTGACGCAAAGTATGACAGCCCCACATTACATCAGTGGAAGCAGACCAAGGCCGCATGACTAGGGTACCTTGGAGATTTTTCACATGGACTTTTGCGCGCAGTTCGGCTTGATAGGAGCATTTTGCTTGTTCCTACCGATCACTGCCAATGGAGACCTGCTAATATGCAATAGCAGGAGCTTTGTTTGCGCTTGACAAGAGTCTGGTCTTACCAAGGTGAGTCGGTGCAAATCAGTAAGAACTAGCAAAAGAAATCGGTGGAGTGCAAACACCCCCCCCCCTAAGATGAAAAGCGGCAACTTTTGAAGCCTTCTGTGTTGCATAACATCAAGACTGCAATAGAATCGCCGTGTATCTCAGAAAACTTTGTTGAACATACCTCATCGAAAGCTTTTCCACTGGTGAGAATGATCCTGTCGTTATCACTAGCTCTACATTTCAGATCATGTCTGTTCTCAGGAATCAACACATTCACACCACATCGTCTGACGAAGAGAAAAAGACAAGCATCAGAACTAAGAAACACCTCCAGAAGAGTAGTCCTTAGTTAGCTCACCTCATGTTTTTCCCTAGCCCAAATAGCATGGAATCTACTATGCATTGCAGCTCAGTTGCTTGCCGTGTGCCCGACAGCACATCTTCTAGCTTCTGCAGAAAAACCCGTCAGACTTCATAAACTCTCATCTCTACAAATAAAGACAAAAGGAGACAGCAATTTCCGGAATATATGCACAAGTGAACATTATTACCTCGCAGATCTCTGACCATGACATGTCGTCAATCTTCATTCGCTCTTTCTTTGACTTGTTTTTTCTTTCTTCTTTGCCGTTACACTAGACTTCTGGACCACTGCTTGAAAATCGATACCGCGAGCCCTGAAATGAAAAGCCTTGGAAACAGTTTTTGCATACGCCTGAACACTTTGGTGCTTTGAGAAGCACGTAAATTTGACAGCTCTTCCCTTTCCAGCCAAAAGCTTATGCACAATCCTTCACTTTTAGGATCGTAATAAGGTTCTCTCGATCGTCGGTGTCAGCCCTTCCCCTTATCACCTCATTTATTACTCACTCAAAATAGAGAGTGTTAGTATAGGAACGATAGTGCCATCGGGAAGTTTTTAAAAATGAAGATTGGGCGTTATTGTGGTCAGTGGGCGGAGCCGCAGCTTTGTCGAGAACTTGTCAGGCTCTATTCACTTACTTTTGAGCAGCGACTATAGTACATCTCCCATGCTTGCAGACAAGACCCATGGTCAACGAGCGCGGGTGCGCATTAAACGAACGCGAGGCGTGCCTCCAAGACTATTACAAGAAAATTTGCATTTATCGTAGCAGAATCTTTGTACAGGAGGGGGGGGGGCAAAAAAAGTCACTTGTCTTCATTGACTTTCGGGGCGCTATAAATTAAATTCTGATCGGACGTATGTTATATTGTGCCTCACGAGGTTTTTAGGTGGAACTATTTATCACAACATGACGTTTCGCCTAATCGTCTTCTTCAGAGGCCTAAAAGTGTTTCGAGTCGAGAGATGTGCACTACCCCTCCAAGCGCCTAATCCACCCCAGCATTTCCGATGACTTAGTGAAACTCAACCGGGAATCGATATCTCAGCAGCCAGTCAGAGAACGAAGGCGCTCACCTCTTGTTCCCGCGTGGACGCGGAATAATCCGGCTAATCCATAACAACAGTACCGCGAATTAGGCTATACATTATAAAGCGTCTCCTTATATGTATCGAGTACGCGGAAAGCGCTGCGCCTGTTGACTTTAAAAAAAAAAAAACAGGCTCGCAATTGGGACCGATACGACGAGGAGGTCATTAGGAATTGGACGGAACGCTCGTTCTCAGTGCTGTTCAATACTAGGATTTCTGACGACATGAATAGCTGAATCCAAACGCTCTAAATCGCCTTCCCAGCCTGCAATATACTACTCTGCGCCAGTATTGAGCACTTTCATCCCCCTGGAGCAGGTTGTCACGCGTTATACACCCGCTTACTGCTTCCCAAGGACTTTCGTAAATATACGACCGGCGCCCTCATGCTGCTCTAGGTGTGCTTCTGATACGCGCTTAGCACAGCGCCTCTTCCTGTCTTTTCGATACAGGGTGCAAAATTCACATGTCCGACCCAATGCCTGGTAGATTACGCCCGTTGTGCGCAAGTCACGACGATTTTTTCCGCAGCGGACCAATTACCACACTTCCAATATATACTGCTTGTCGTAGAGCCTGTTTCGAAGTAACTGCTGCTTGATGTTGTTGTTGGGAATGTTCACTGACTGAACGGCATCTTGCAGGTGTGGTCTAGAAATACTCCGTTGTATTGCAGCAGTGACCTTATCAGAGATGAAAGGAAGACATAGTGGCAACTTGCTTTGGCGCGGACTTTCTCGCGTGTTCGTGCGCTGCCTTCCATGACGCTGTGGTACCGTATAACCGTTCTTGGCAGCTATCTCACATGCTAAACGTCGTGATTCTTGACGTTCAGCTTCGCCTGTGCACATACTCGTTGCTGTTCTCAGCATGTTGTTGACAACTGCACGTTTGACGAATTGTGGATGAGCTGACATGGCGTGAAGTAGGATGTTCTTCGAACTTGTTTTACGGTACCACTTCACACTAGCAATGCCTCCGGATACCTTCACCTGTGTGTTGAGATAAGGAAGCCAACCGTCTCGTGGTACCTCGCGTGTGAGCTTAATGTACTGTGACTGTTCATTCATTATTCGGAAACACTCGTCCATTTCGGACTGTGTTGATGTTATGATGAAGCAGTCATCGATATACCTACAGTACATCAATGGATGACGCTCTAGTACCGGTTCTTCGATTCTACCCATGAAGCATACCGCAAGAACTGGTGCTAGTCGTTGACCCATGGCTAAGCCTCTGACTTGCGAGTAGTATGTCCCTGCCCATTTGAAGATGTTGCAACTCAAGCATTCCTTGACCAACGTCATTATATGCATTTTACCAAGCCCAAATGTGTTAATACTGTTAGCATGCCTATCCAGCATTTCGGATAATGCTTGTAAGGCTTGCTCGTTTTGGACATTGGTGTAAAGCGAAACGACGTCGAAGGACTCAATTACAGTGCTCCTTCCAAGGTTGGAGGACCGTAATTTCAAGGAATTGCTGAGTATTGGACAGGTGAGACGGAACCTTGGTCAACAGTTGGCTCACAATTAAATTGAGAAACCACGAGATTCTATCGGTTGGTCCACCCACACAGCTATAATAGGACGTATTTTGTACGTATCCGGTGATATTGACAGCGTATCATGTGCAGAAAGTTTATGGGTCTTTATGAGGCTATAGAAAACCGGACAGTTTGGACTATCCGTTTTGAGTCTACTTACGAGTTTTCCATCAAGGCCCGCAGAATTCGCAACGCTCAACCATACACGATTGAGGCGGGCGCACTGTGAGGAAAAGTCCTTGTTGGTAACGCGGCGTAAACAATCCTCCGACAAGCCTCCCACAGTCCGTATTTTGCACATAGGGTTGATTTTGCCCTAGACCGAATAGTGTCACAAATCTGTCTCGACTCACCCTCAATCCTCCTCCAGGTCTGATTAGGCAGAAGACGCCGGCACGCTCGTTCTTTTGATGTACATTTCAAGAAACAAGAATAAAGAACACGCTGCTTCTCCTTGATTGCAACACCCAGAATGGAGCGATAAATGGATCTTATCACTGGGTGATTTTCAGGGAGTCTGCACATCATTCCTATCTTCTTATTGGAAATGAACCGCGGAAGCACGTCGGTCGCTCTGCATCTCTGGAGGAACTTCACAGACTGTCGGGTGGCCACCACCTTCTGACGAAGCGAAATCGCCTCGCGAACCAGAGAGAAGAAATCGGCGGCACATCTTCAAATATTCTCCAGCTTCTCTCTTCTTGTAACCTCGGCATGTTAGTTTCAATAATTCAGTATGTTATATTGTGCCTCACGAGGTTTTTAGGTGGAACTATTTATTTAACGGCCTGACGTTTCGACTAACTCGTCTTCTTCAGAGGCCTTAGAGTGTTTCGAGGTTGAATAGTTCCACCTAAAAACCTCGTGAGGCACAATATAACATACTGAATTATTGAAAACTAACATGCCGAGGTTACAAGAAGAGAGAAGCTGGAGAATATCTGATCGGACATTTTTACCACCATATTAAAGAGCATGCGCCACAGCCTTCTGGACGAGCGCCATCGAGAGATTCTGGCAGCGACCGCGATGTGGTGCCTGAGATCAGCGAGATAGTCGATTTCTCCGCCACCGTAGACCACCCTATTGAACTCCGCCCGAACCGGGTAATTGAGGGGATTCAGGTCAGGTGACCTACTTGGATATTCCATCTTCTTTAGGTACTCAGCCCCCTTCCATTCCAAGTAGGCGAGAGTTTCTCCAACGCCCTTCGATTCCATGTGGTGGCACCAATGCTGTAGCAGTACAAAGTTTCCAAGAAGGTACGGGCGACGACTGAGGATATTCTTCACGAGTTGCTCGATGTAACCGCCAGCGCTCACCTTCAGTCCGGGGTCCACGAAGAAAATATTGGTCTTTCCATTCCAGGTACGTCCGGTCCATACCATCAACCTTGCGACTGTGGTGAAGATGATGTCCTAGACCGTGGCGACGTTGTCGGAGCTGCTCGATGTTGGAGGTCATCCAGATCGAGAGTACTGGTCTCCAGGTAGCTATCCATGGGTGACTCCATACTAGAAGTTTCGCAGCTGTTTGGAGGTGACATGAATTCCAAAGGTCTTCTCCAGTCAGGCTGCGACTGGAGATGACTTCATATTTTGGTGTACATGAAGGTGATGGGCGAGAGCCAGCTCCTGCTTATCGAGGAACATCTTGGGTATCTTCCGCCCTGGTACTCGTATCGTCCTCTGTCTGGGCGAAAACTTTGCTGATATGTGACTCGGTCAAAATGACTTTTTTGCCCTCCCCCTATAGTTTGTGCTCACAGACTTTTGAGTGCCTATTCTTCCACATCATTATTTTTCCACTGATCGTAGTTGAGTGGACAATTCCTAGTAGACAAAAGAGAACTAACTTACTCAGCTGACGCTTTTAGCTTCGAAAACAGTTCGACAACAATGTAGGCGTCCATCGCCGCATAGCGTTTCTGACTGACTCGCAAAGGACGAATAGCCCAATTGCTGCACTGAAAGGTCAAAACTTGGACAGTCGTGAATAGAACAGATAATGTAGGCGTATACGTATATATTATTCAAATTGTTGTCAAGTAATCAAAGTGAAACTTTAAGAGAAATAGAAAACAATAGCAGCTCGATGATCTTTAACTGGAGTTATGAGGTCTACCAACATACAACAGCTACAGAAGCCTTATACCGGAGGGAACCGTCATATTATCATGAAAGGTTTACCCACACCACCTAGAAAAGGAGCAAACTTCATGTTTGCGGATCCTATATATGTGAACTTTCGGATAACTAACAGCTTAACAACAGCGAAATCCCTCTTCTTTTCCTCTTTGAAACTTTTTTTTGAAAGAGTTGAAGGCAACGTTAGTAATGCTCAACAACAGCAACAAACAGTTTGAACCAAGTGCTTCAGATAATTTCAGATGTGAATGTAGAGGATAAAGGATAAAGTCTTCGCCGTTGATCAATCCCTTTGTGGGATGCGGCACGCATTCTACTTCCATTCGAATCGTGGTTATTGAATGCGATGTGGCCTATACAATGACTTGCGGGGCCAGCCGATGTACAAGTCAGTGTTTTATCCTCCCAGACGAATCTGGTACCAATTTACCGTTCCCGGAGGGTAGAAGGCTTGGTTGGTGGGCGGGATTCGACCCGGAGCTTGAACCCAAGACCGCCAGGACTTGTGGTAAGTGGGCCGTTTGTCGCTACATCACCTCCTCCTATATGAGTGTAATGTACAAGAAAAGAAGAGGTTAGGGTACTGAATGAAAGACACATATAATTCACCTGTTCCGACTTATCCAGCTTGACGCCCAGCAGTTTGTCACTCAGATCGCTAAGTTTGAAGTGAACTAATGGAACATTGTCGGAATCTTCGTCCAAACCACCTTCATTGATGCCGTTGAATAAACCTGTAATTATATGTAATGTAATGAAGTTTCTAGGTGACAAAAAAGCGACATCAGTTGTTTACACTTTGGAAGAACTGGATCTCAAAAACATTACTCACTTTCCATATCGAAAAACTGTCGATCCTCTTCGAGTAACTAAAAAATGAATACTCATCAAAGTATGGGGGTAGTTTAATAGATCTTTGTACTGTCAAGGAGACCCTAACCATCAAGCTGCGTTTTTGCGACTGATGCACCACATAATGTGAAAACAAGAGGAAAAAAGGACTTACATTTTCAACCAGCATCTTGACGCAGACCACATTACGGATTTCATCGCTTATGGGACGCAACTGAGACATCGAAGACCCAGCAAAGAGCGCTCGCAAATCATTAGTGAGATCAAAACCTAGGAAAATATCTGGTCAATATGAAGGAAGAGTTTATGCTTGCGCAAAGTAGGAATCAAGGCACAACTTACGGCGCTAACCTAGGTCGCAAGGATGGGAAGGAATGCCCCATCTGTGCCTTTTTCTCCGCTTATGTAAACATCTGAACTTTTTTCGCGGTCTGTCGAAGAACTTTGCAGCGAAAAGCAGCAATGAGCAACATGCAATGCTCATAGATTGTCATGTAGGTGGAAGAGCGCGGACAAGGGCAGAAAGCTGACGCGATTGAAACAAACTGTGCACTTATCCCCATGAATCCTGGTTTCCCCGCGTTTATGTAGAACTGGTCCGCAACTGGTGTAAAGTGCCACTTTCTGCGCTCAAAAGTACACCGAAGCGGGGCTAACGGGTACTAGTCCCGGATGCCGCCTTCTTACTCCGTCCGCGCTCCACACGGCTCGGTAACCATAGCTAAACGCGCTGCTTGTCTGCTTTCTCTCTCCCTCTCTCTCTCTCTTTTGAGCTGAGAAAGCGCAACGCTACCGAAGCCATAGACCCATGCGCCTTGCATGAAAACCGTCTTCGGAGGTGACATTGTATGTCCTTCAGCTGCCAAGTTTATAGGGAAAACCCGAGAGGTTGACTTCCATTCAACAAGTGGTTTAGGAAAATGTCCCACCGATTTTCATGGAAGGACTGCAGAGAAGTGTTCGAAGGAACTGCTCCATCGCGTTTTCTCCTGTACTGCTCTCCATTTTCAATGAACAGAAATCCACTAAGTATACAGCATCTTTGGTCGCTATCTGTAGCAGAGCGATGCTGAAACAGGCAACAAAGTCTGTAGTATTTGCAATAAAAATAAGACGAAAACTAAAAAAAAATCACCTTTCACTAGTTGATACATAAGGTCTCCACTCCGAATCAATACCAATATGGGTCTCATTTTTGAGTTTGCCCATTAAGGCGTTGAGCTGTTTCCAAGTGGTGATCATAATTATGGGGTATCCAGGCATTAGTTCAGTGTCGTCGTCTCCTACATCTAGCGCCCTCTCTTCAAGCCTACATAAGCACAAATTAGGTGTCAAATTCGCTACATACTTTATCCTTTTTGAGTATATTTATATATACATATGGCTGCGTTCATACTTTGCGGCAGCGTACACCAGCGCACGAAGTGTTTCGAGCGTAAGCCAGCGCCAGCGACTAGGAAAGTATAGGTATCGAACTAGCGCAGGACAGCGTCCACCGGGAAGAGTACTTGGAAAGAGGATAGAACCAGGCTGCTGGACTAGGCATCTTGAAATTGCGGCGTATGCAACCGTACCGTACAACTGCACTAAAGCGCACATTGAGATTGCGTAATCCGTGCCTTAGCAGCTGTGCGGTGCGGCTGCACACGCTGCAATTTCAGACGACTAACCCTGCTACCTGCTACCCTCCTATCTCCCTACACTCTACACTCGTGGTGAACGCTGACGTACGCCGGCATGCGCAGCGTACGTTAGATCGATATCTACACTTTCCTGCTCGCTGGGATGGTGTACGCTCGAGACGCTAAGGACGCTGCCGTACACTGACGCAAAGTATGAACGCAGCCTAAAGCATACTACTGATGGAGAACACACCTTCTTATATTCAATTCAGCTTCGTATAAAACACCAGGCGTACTATTTATGTATTCCTGCAAACGGCGAGGTAATCTAGCGTCAGGAATGTTGCAGTACACAACCCAGCGAACTGCGTCCTCACTTAAATGATTGCGTATAAGCATACGAAAACAATCGAAATTCCAAGAGAAATGAAGAATAAGAATGAAGGGCTGACACACAAGTTTCGCTGGCCAGTTAGGAAATTTATGAAGTACATCTTCAGACTTTCATCACCTTCTTTTAGCGTTTCCTGGAACACAAGAATCAATAAGCTTGCAAACTCAACGACAAGACAAGAAGAAACAGAAAAAGTACGGCTTGATGAGATAAAACCTAAAGGAACTTACACTTATGTGGCCGAAGTAAGCGTCGTCATTGAGTTCTTGGTTCACGAACCTAAAAAAAGAGAAAAAAAATCCCAAATAAGGTCGCATTCATCCCCAACGAACACGGAGAATCAGCGATTCGACGGAAAGCGCAGTGAAACACATGAGGATCGACTGACTCCACCCACTGCGACCACGCACAGGGTAGAACATCAAGGTGAGTGAAATGGTGGTGCCAGTACGACCCCACTCCTTCCTCAACGATTTTCCCCAACTTCCCACCACTTTTCCGGAGGAAATTCTCCGAAATTTTCCCTAGTTTCCTCCAAAAAGTTTGCTGTCGAGCGCAGGGATATAGCAAACTTGAAAAGCGAAAAGTCAACAACCGGAAAAATTTTTTCCCCAAAGCCACAACTCCAACAACGACCGAATACGACTCCCCCACCTCCCAGCGGCCAAGTACGACCCCTCCCCATGTGCTCCACACAGCGATGCAACGATGCTGTACCCCGTACACGCATCCACTCGGACTGCAGACTTTGCGAAGTCGCGGATTCTCCGTACTTGCGAAATCTGATTGCGGCCTAAAACACGAACATAGAAACCAACCTCGACTGAGCCTTGAACCTGAGGTCTCCCTCTTTTCGAACACGGAAAAGATTTGGAGCGACAGTTTCCACTGGTAGGGCGAGCTCATTAGTAAGTTTGTAGATCATCTTCTCTATAGTTTTCCCTGAAAGCTGATTAATTTCAGGGTTGGGTCAAATCTACGGCAAAAAGAGAAACTATTTGGTTCCACCTGTGAAACGCTCGTATTGCATTGTCATTATCTGACTATCCTTATATGCCTTCAACCGATCGATGACCTCGCATTCCGCCAAGCCCACGAAACTGTCGAGATAGGATACGAAACTCTCCTCAAACGAGACCACTTTTGCATGAGAACACGGCAGAACTCAAGTCACCGTAGTTACCTGCATCTTCCTGTCTTTCTCAATATATTTAACGACAGCGCTCAATTTGTCTTGCAGCAAACATGGAATGACGAAGGCGTACAAACCGTAGTCACTATGGAGGTCGAACTCTTCCACGACATCCATCGCCTCTTTGAACATATGCCGATCGATCATGGACTAAAAGTTGGGTTTAAGGGAAGACGGAAGGTATGCACTCAAGCAGTTACAGTCTTCTTCACTGCGAATAAAGGGGGTGTGTCCGTCGGAACGAATTTGGTGCGGCATCTTACCCGTTATCCACCAGTTTTTAAGCGGGTAAGCGACAACCAGATGGAAAACCACTTATACAATGATATGAAACAGCCTTATCGCTTGCTCGCTTCAGCAGATGACGGGTGCATGACATTTAAATATCCTAATCTCAATGGCAATAACGCTCGGGTGAGTACAGCTCCCCAGTATTTCGTGAAAATCCGTTCATACTTCACGCGCGACTAATCGTCTGATTTGCGCGAACGGTGCGACTAGTCGCGAATAAGAACGCAATCCGGACCTATTAATTTTCTGACTTTGAATTGATGTTTGTTTGCTGTTCTGAAGAAAAAACTGGAAACTTGGAAAAGTATTTCCTTAGCCAAAAACGCGCGCGTCAGGCGGTTTTTTTTTGCGAAAATTGAGTCTAGCTCATGCATAAGATTCCGACATGAAGTGTCGGAGACCGCGTTCAGACTTCGCGATCACGCGATTGGATCAAGATTCAAATTGGGCGGGTTCACACAGTGGAAATTTGTATTGCGCCGTTGTGGCGAAGCACCGTTTGGCGGTGGACCGCGTGGTCGTGCGATCCAGTCGAGCGATCCAATCGCACGATCTCGAAGTCTGAACGCGGTCAGGATGAAAATCAACGATATGATGAAAGCATGTACCAAAGGAAGAGAACTATCACCCAACGTTGATTTCGTCCTTTATGAAACTCAACAATGTGACGTCATCTAGGCAGAAAATTTCCTTGAACAGTCTCAAATATCCTGTGTGTTTTGCAGTCGCGATACGAAATGCTTCCATCTGCAGAATGGACTACGATTAGCACAGCCACAGGAATGCAAAAAAATGTGAGAAGGTGTGAGAAGTGACCCTACAAGCGCACCTGAAGCTCCTGAGTGACACAACGATCAAACAATTCGGTATCATCGTCTCGCTTTAGTAACCATTTATGAAGAGTACTTACAATGATTCCTTGAACGATCAGAAATAAAACTCATATTTCAAGAAAAGAAGACGAAACAGCGGCTCACCAGCTAACGATTTCGGCTTATTCGATGCATAGTCAGGAGAAATTTTGTGAAGTTGCAGCATAGAATCATACGGATTATCATCAATCTCGAATATGGAGAAGAGAATGGAAGTAAGCAGCTCCTCTCTGAGAACTTCATTCTTCTCGTTCAAGTAAACATCCTGAACGAAACTGACTCTCAAAGCAGAGTACATGTGAGGCGTCCCCACAAGTTTGCTGACTTTTTTCAAAGTATTTCGGCGTGTACTGAGAAAACGAGCCGTTGCGACGGAGACAAGAGTCCATGGCTAATGATATAAATGTCGACAACTCGACTCTCGGCGCAGCATTGCTCTTCACGCCCTCTAGCGCGGCATGTTACGATTGTCTTGGCACCAGTAGGAATCTAGTAAATTCTGTGGACTTCGCTATTCTATCGAAATGATGAGAACAAACGAAGTCTCAGCCAGTAAAACTGAACAAAGAGCACCATTTGACAGCTGTAAAGAATGACAAAAAATACAACTAGAGAACAACCTTCAGAATTTTTCGTCTCGTTTCGAGCGGTTCTGCATGTGTTGAACGGTAGAGAGCTTTCTTTTCAGCTTTAGTTAATTTTCTCGGGGCTTCATCAGCAGTGGCTGTTGACGAAACCGTCTCACTCGACGGCGTGTCCACCATAGCTGAAAATCGGTTAATTCACCACTTGAACATTCATGCACTGCCCCGCGAGAAACTGCAAGAGAAGGGACTCCGGGGTGGTTGCCACTGGTGAGCCACTTATCAAGCGTGAAAAGCTGAAGTGTGTGAGGTCACAGTGATACCATTAAGCAGGCAAAGAAAACAGAAAATGATTCAACTGAAACTGCTTTAAGGCTTTTTGGCGCAATAGTTCGACTACAGATTACGGTACCCCACATTCTGCACAAGAGGTTCTTCAAAGGTAAGGAATCTTGTAGGTTTCGTTCCAACACCATTTCTTTTTTCCATGTGTTACTGCACTAGAAGTTGCATGAGGAAACTACTGAGCCTGAACATGCGGGTCTGAGTATGCCAAATTTCCGTAGGCCAAGGAGGATTAGAAGCTCCGCGGTGGGTAATCACATCATGCACTCCTGTGTTTCCTCTAGCCTGGGCCATTAAGCTTTTCTTATACAGTGCAAAAGAGTTTGTAAGTTTTAGATGCCCTAGGTGGGCGCAGTTTGTCGACGAGGGGGCATTTTGCTTTCCATAGATGTGTCGACCCATCTAGGTAGCCGTTTCTCGAGTTGACACGTTTTAGGATAGTGGCTAGACGATCTTACTTCAGCTTCACAAGAGTTCACAAGTTTTACCAGAGATTTGTAAACCGGAACTAGGGAAGCAATGATAATACAAAATGCCCCCCCCCCCGTCGACAAACAGCGCCCCCTAGGTGCTTTACACCGCAACGCTCGCCTATCCGTTTCGGACGTGCGGTGGGTGTTTTATCTACTGGAAACGTCAGCAAGCAAAGTCGAGCATACTTCTACAAAACAAGGACAATGCAATGGAGAAAATAATCAGACGCCAAGCAAAGTGAATCACCATCATGAGCTCTCCGGATTTAAGCCGTAAAGTGAATGCTATTGAGCGTAACCTACCGTTATCTAATCAGTCTGACGCGAAAATGTTGGGAATTCCTTCCTGTGCCATATCTGACTGCGACAATCTTCCATTTCGGAGCGACTAAAGGGTATTATGTTCTGCGTCAGGAATGAGTACCTGGGGTGTTCACATTTAACACCACGAAGCCTGCGGGATCGGCCTAAAAAACGTCCATGGTAAGACTTCGGGTAAATATCGGTCGAGGGAATTGCAGAAATAGAGAATAGGATACCACAGACGGGAGGGAGGCGGTCGTTTGGAGCGATTCCTGGGAGGCGGTGGTTTGGCACGATCACGTCGTGTTGACATGTAATGACAAGTAATGGCAAGTTTCCGCGAAATTGGACAACTCGTCCGAATCGCTAATGTGCGGTTTTCGTAGTTGACAGACTATATAATGTCATGAGTATTATCTGCGGTGTTCCTACTTCTCATCCAAGGCATCTCCCATCGATCGTCGGGAAAAAGTTTTGGTCTAAAGTTTCGGACGAGTCGCCCTCACGGGAAGGCGGTTCGTGCGACATGTTTTGACGCGTTTTCAGCATGTAGATCGCTCCAAACGACATACACCCGCGATTCCTAAATCATTGACATGTCAAAACAAGTCACATGACGCGTTGCCCAGGTAAGAAAACTCGTCCGAATCTGCGGACGGGTTTTCATATTGAGTGCGAGTGAACCACGTATCGCGGGTTTCAGTGTTCCTACGTCTCAACCAGGGCGTCTTCCAATAAGTATTTGGGGAAATCCAATAACTCTGTGACTTGGACGAGTTGCTTCACCTGTGTGACGGGCATACCATCCCTTGACACGTCCCCAAACGATATTACTCTTGTTCGCAGCGGATGTTGGCACGTGTCAGGTGCGCCTGGGCTAACCGCTCCACCAATTGCTAAAGCGAGCAGGCGACAGCGATTGGAGGAAAACGGGCTGATGCTGCGCCAAACCCAACCACCCTACACCCAATCGCCGTGAGCAGGACTGTACACCCCCACAGAAAGTTTAAAGTAAATACATCGGTACAAATCCGCTCTTTTGCAGGGCTTCTGCAGGAGCAGGTGGCATTGCCTAACTAGGGAGGTCGTTCAGGACGTGGAGCGCTTTTTGAAAACGGTTTTTTGCATGATGTGGGGTTACGTGCATGGAGTACCAAACTGGTGTTCATTTTTCCTGAACGCCTCTGGGAATGCCAAAAATGGAGTGAAAAGAAGTCCATGGAAACCGACTGTTTTTGAGCCTGAATGGGCTCTAAATCACTCGCAACTTCGGCCAGTTGCTGCCTATAGGGGTCCTTATAAAGGTACTGCGGGTGGAGCGATGGAGAGGAAGTAGTCGCCAATGGGGTCCTACTTGTGGCACGTAGTCCCCAATTTGGAGCCAAGTCTTTCTCCCACTGGAGTCGCTATGTACATTCGTTTGAGGGACTTGCAGGGCCATTCTGACGCCAGATTGGGTTGATGTCAAGAATAAGTGTCAGAATCGTGATCAGGACCATCGATTACCCCTATAGGCAAACTTTCCGCCCGCCAAAAACTTTTGAGCTTTGTTTGAGTTTGTGATACGACACCATTTGCGTCGTTTCTCGCGCTGATGACCGGAGGACCGCACAACTTGGAGTGGATGACGAGCGATGACAGCCGTGGTGCGTGCCGCCGAGCCAGCCACCGCATCGCCGGATTTGATCTTGGTGCTCATAAGGTCCATTCATACTTGGCATGGGCATGGGTGGCCGCAGAACAAGTGAAAAACCATCCTGGACATTTGTCGACCCCCGCGACGGCTCGCTCAACGAAGATGTCGTCCTCCCCTACCAAGAGGAGAGACTCATCCGATTTCTTCATCAAATGCACCTGGAGGAATGATGACTATTTTGTTCTTTTTTTCGATGGCGTTTATGGTTGTTGCTAGTTTTTTGTTTCCGTACCACTGAATGAGGGTTTCGATAACCAGCAAAAGTACGACTTCAACAAAGTGACTCTTGAGCATAACCCAATGCACAGACTCAAAAAAGTCAAAAAAATTTTTTGGCTGAAAGTTTGCCTATAGGGGTAATCGATGGTCCTGATCACGATTCTGACACTTATTCTTGACGTCAATCCAATCTGGCGTCAGAATGGCCCTGCAAGTCCCTCAAACGAATGTACATAGCGACTCCAGTGGGAGAAAGACTTGGCTCCAAATTGGAGATAAATGGCACTAGAGCTGAAAGTAAATGCCATAGTCCCCGGTGATACAGAGGGCACCGAATAACATAAGCTCAGCTTTCAGACAAGTTCTTGCTTAATGGTATGTGAAATCGAAATTGCTGAATAGCACCGACTACGGGCTATAACTATTTAGGATGTGCCTATAGAGAATTGGCAGTTCCGAGTAAATTCGACTTAACAGCAGGATATGGGAAAGCCGACAACAACGGAAAATAAAAAATGCAAAAACGTGCAAGCCGAGGGGAGTCGAACCATCATCCCCCATCCCCACTGCCTGCTTGAGAATCCTCCACGCTATCCACTAGGCCATCGGTCGTTGGCACAGGTACCACTTCGATTGCTTAAGAGCCCATTCGAATTGGCCGTCGACTCTTAACTACGTGCCACAAGTAAGACCCCATTGACGACCACTTTTCTCATAGATACCAGTACAACCTTTATAAGGACCCTATAGGCAGCAACTGGCCGAACTTGTTGCGAGTGATTAGAGCCCATTCAGGCTCAAAAACAGTCGGTTTCCATGGACTTTTTTTTCACTCCATTTTTGGCATTCCCAGAGGCGTTCAGGAAAAATGAACACCAGTTTGGTACTCCATGCCACGTAACCCACGATTCCAGTGCCAAAAACCGTTTTCAAAATGCCGCTCACGAGCGCTGTGGGCTCTGCCTAACAGATACTATCCAAACGATGGATTACCGACCGGTTAAAAAACTGGGTGTTGAGGCGGAAGAGAACAGTAAGTGGTCCTGATTACAACGTGGTTGGTGCTTGGGTCAAATCTCGGGTTATCTGAAGTTCATACCGGAAAGTTTTTTATCACTCCGCCGTTGGCCGATTGGTACCCCCAGGGATTATGAGAGGTCAAAACATTGAGTTGTACATAGGCTAGCTCTCGGGAGCTGTAGCTGTGCTAAAGAGTACGTAGATCCTCCAAAAATGTTAGATCAACAGCAAAAGATAGATCGTTTTATGCGTTTCACAATAAGCTGCGAATTCCCTTTTTTTCGTTTGAAAGGTGGGAATTTTGCCCTAAAAAATACTCAAAATCTTATTGAAAATGATGTCCATGGCTGTATGACACCAGGTGACATTTTCTTGTACACAGGGAGTTACCTTGTAGAGATAGTCCGGCCATTGCTGAAAATGGAACCATTACGGGAATGTCTCGTGCACGGTGACGGAGGCAAAGAGAAAGGAGATGGGCAGAAGACGTGGTTGCACTGAAAAGTAATTACGTTCAACCTTCATT